GTTATATACCTGCTTATCTGTTATGTGTATGTCGACATGGTTGTGTGGTTGGGTTGAGGTGAATATTCTTAGTACTGAAGGCCAACAGACCCATGGCATCCCAGATAGACTGAAGGCCAGTAGGGCGTACCAGTCAGGTGGAAGTCTCAAAGAACAGTCCAGTCAGGCTGAAGGCCCGGTGAGGCGGACTAGACATACTGAAGGTTACGTGAGCGGTCCAGACATGTTGAATGCTCTATGTGCATGCTGTTATTTGTGTATGTTATTGTTATCTGGTTGGGACTTGGTACTTTGAGGGAACTTACTATGACTTGTGATTACAGTTTTAGTTTATGGTTTCAGGTACTTCAACGGATCATGACAAGGTGAAGGTGCGACCATACACATCCTCGCGTTTTGGACTTATGAATTATGGGGAACTCTGATAGTTTGAATATTTTGAAAACTATGTTGAAAGAGATTCTAATTTTTAAATAATGTTTTGGAAACTACAATTTTTGTAAAAAAATATTTTGTTAAAGGTTTGATTTGAAAAGTTTAAATTTTATTGAAATTTTAGGATGTTACATTTTTACCTCCAAATAGTGTCAAATGGTGATGTGATTCTGGATCCAAAGTGATCCACTCTTATAAGATGATCACCTCTTATTTCCTTTTTCCTTCAAGATCACCAAAACACACACAAATGGCTCATATATGTTCTCAAATGGACTAGGGTTTTCAAATGGTCGAAATAGGGTTGGAGGCTGATGAAAGAAAGAACACATTGAGAGTTAAGGATGTTTAAATAAGGTCCACGCCCTAAAAATTAGGTTTGGGGTTTTTTCATGAGGCAATGCGTACGCAGTGTATGCCCAACATACACAAACTTTGCCCAAAAATCACAAAAATTCTATTGGGACCAAAATACAAACATTTCTCATACCAAGGGGGTAAAAGGTAAATACCTGGAATTTGAGATGTTACATCCACGAGACAAAATCCCAAAATCAGTGTATGATAAATAAACGCATAATCACAAAGTACAAAAGGTGATAATGAGTGTGTATAATCATACATTCGCCTTCCCACAATCATCTGAAGCACCTAAAATATTTAAGCCATAATTGTAAGTCAAAGCCTAGTCAGATCCTCGGAACATCATATATAACAATATACATGCAATACATACAAACATAGACCTTTAACACACAACTGTGTAACGCCTGATTCCTGGTGCACATTTAATTGTAATTTATTCATTTTTGTAGAGTTACTCGACGAGTTGGGATCCCCAGACTTGTCGAGTAGAAACGAGATTGGCCGCGAGGTTTTAAGCAATCTACTCGATGATTTGAGAGCCCTTAACTCGGCGAGTAGGTCTGCCAGAGTGAAAACATAATTTCAGGGTTTTGCAACCTATTTAAGCATCTTAATCCCCACTACATGACCTCATTTCTAGCCTCCAAGTCCCAAACCTTAATCCACGAAACCCTAGAGCATCGTGTGAGTTTGTGATCCACTTTTGAGTGAGCTTTGTGTGATTTGAAGCTTGTAGACGAATAAGAAGCTAGAGGATTCCAAGAGAAGATTGTAGATCCAAAAGCAACATCTTATCCTCTTCATTTTCATGTAATCAAGCCTCTAACTTGTCTAGTAGTTCCTTAGATATTATTTTATATTTATTGGGTTTTTGGGTCCAAGAAGCTTGACCCTTGGGATTTAGACGTCCCAAGCAAGGATCCCTACTGACTTGGAATCATTAAGGGTTGTTATGGCATAAAGGTGCAAACTTTATGCCATTGAAGCCCCCATGCAAGCTCTAAGGTGTTTTATGGCCTTTTAAGCCCAAAAGGCCATGCATGGAAGGAAAGTCTAAGACTTTACGTGCTCATTTGATGGCTAGGACCTATATCTCGATTTTCATGCTTTTGTTTTGAGTATTATGGCTTTTGGACAAAGATATATGTCCTAAAGAACCAGGGTTTGAGCTAAACCCATTAGGAAGGACTATTAATGGGTAAATTTGGAAACTTTACCCTTAGGAAGACACTTTCGGTTTGTAGAAGAAATATGGAGTTTGGATCTGGAGAGTAGAGGCTTAATCTGTTAAGATGGCCCGATTAGATAGAGGAACTCGTCAAGTCCATAGGGGAACTCGACGAGTTGAGTTGTTATGTCCTGAATCTGATTAAGGTAGAATTCGACGAGTCTGAGGATGACTCGACGAGTCAATTCACTAAATCGCGACTATGAGTAGCTAGGGAACTCGGCGAGTCATAGGGGTGACTCGACGAGTTGGATCACAATTTTAGGGTTTTGAATGATAGAACTCAACGAGTTGATGGAGCAACTCGGCGAGTTGAGTCAACCCGCAACGTTGACTTTGACCAAGGGTATAATGGTCATTTTACCCTAAGGAGGATTATCCATTATTGACTAAGTGTTATTGTGTTAATAATAGTCCGGGAGCTGTTAGAGCAGCCATTAGAGATGCCTCACACGAGATTTTAACAACCAACTTAAGAGGTGAGTTTTCCTCCAGTAGGAACGGGTCGAAGGCATCAATGCCGACCTGTTTATGTATGTTAGCGTATGTCGGACTTCGGTCCGTTGTCGGGGTTAGCCCGATGTAGATTATATGTTTTCGAACTTCGGTCCGATGCCTGGCCAAGGTCGAGGAATGTTTGTATGCTTGATGTCTTCGTGATTCTTGCATGTGTTTGTTTATATGTTCTAGACTTCGGTCTGATGTCGAGGCAAGCCCGATGAATGTTTAGTTATATGTTATGTGTTATATGTTATAGACTTTGGTTCGATGTCGGGGCAAGCCCAATAAAGGATTTAGCTTATATGTTTATGTTATATGTTTGTTGATATGTTATATATATATATATATGTATATATATATATATATATATATATATATATATATATATATATATATCAGAATTCGGTATGATGTAGTAGGCTACTCTACTTTCCTTTTCTTTAAAACCTCTGTAAAATCCAAAAACTTTCCATTTAGTGAGCCAACATTCATAGTACATTTTGTCAACATAGTATCCACTACATTACTATTTATTCCCCTCATTCTAAGTACCTTCAATGATATGTTGTGCCCCTAGATAACATCGTCTCCATGGTATTAGGATATTTATTGACTGACCCGACAGAAGGAAGGTCAACCCTTAGACCGGCTGACATTTTGATTTTTGGATGGGTCGGAGGGAAACATGCATGTGTGGACCTTACAGGGGTATCCCTTATCGTCAGGGGCGGAGCCAGTAGGGGGACTAGTGGGTGTTTTGCCCCCCTTAACTCCATTGGTATTAGTGTATTATTAGTTAAAGTCCCACCTCTGTATTTTTACGATGTATGTCTTAACCCCCTATAATCTAAAATTCTAGCTCCGCCCCTGCCTATCGTGGGCTTGAGGGCGGGGGGGGGGGGGGGTCACGACAGGATTGGCTGCTTTAAAAGCTGCTACAGGCAAAGTCAACAAACATAAGAAATCGTGTATGGAAAATCAACATGTGTTCATACCGTTTGCGTTTGATACGTTTGGTTTCCTCGCACCGGATGCAGTAGAGCTTCTTAATAGAATACAACGGATCATGCATTGCAATGGTATATCCCTAGTTCTATGAATGTAATCTTTAAAAGATTGAACTTTGCTATACAAAAAGGCGTAGCGGCACAACTTGTTGCCCGTTTGCCATCTCACTTGTTGTACGATGATAATTAAATAGCCAGTTGGGTTCAAGAAACGATTAAACCATTTTTCCCAATGGATTAAATTAAAATGGAAGCTCATTTAAAGTTTCAATATATATATATATATATATATATATATATATATATATATATATATATATATATATATATATATATATATATTAGGATATGGTTTTTCTATAATAAAGATGTATTTTTAAAACTATTGGAAAACCTATATGAGTTTCCCAATTATATGTATTAAATGTTTTTAAAAAACAACTAATTTATAAGTTATTATCAAACAACACACTCACAAATCAAACTAGATTACACATGTTAAACACAACCTAAATATGCATTTAAAAGGAAAATTGTATTTACAAGCTCTTAGGAATCGGGTCAATTTGCTTTGTATTTCATTGTTGCAAATCAAAATTATATCTAATTAATAATTTAGTTAAAAACGTGTGATTTAAAAGTTGTTATAGAATACTTATGTGTTTACGTCATCTCAAATTGTTATATTAACAAATGGTTTGCCATAATCTAGGTTATTAACAAATGTTATATTAACAAACGATTAAACCATTTTTCCACACGCTTTGGCTTGTTATTCGACGTGGCTATATTGTGGTAGTTTTTGTGTCAAGGGTAAATACCGAAACTTATGTAGGAGTCTAGGGACTATTCATGCAGTTCAGTCATTGAAAATTGAAGTTCGAATGAAATCAGTTACGATTACGAACAAGATTGGAGGGAAGAGAAGGCCCCGGAAACGTCGCCGGTCCTGCATTTTCATTCTCTCAGGTGAAACCATCATTCTCTTTCCTCTCATTTCTCTCTCGCACAACACCGATGCAGATACTCGATTCAATTATCTTCCATAAGACAGGATTTGCCTTTGAAATTGACAGGTTTGATGACGGAAAGAGGCTGCTGATCCCTTGTCTGGCTGAGGTTACGGGTCGCCGTGGCCGGAAATCAACAGTCTCTTCGAACGAAGCTTATCGGTTTCATATGGTTATTATCTCAATCCTTGTTTGCTTCTTTTCTTTTAACTTGTATTCTCCCTATTAATCGCCGTAGCCGAGGGTTTAAGGTGTCGATTTCTTGTTTTTTTTTTTTTTTTTCCTTTAATGCTCATGTAGGGTTTAATCCATTATGGGAACCTTATACGCTGATAACATTTGGAGGATTATGAATCTATTATTACGTTCTATATCTTGTGGCATTGCTAGAAGTAACCCTGAAGTTTTTCTTTACATTATGCAGTTCTAATCCAAATATCTCTGTAATTTCATATGGGATCTTTGGATACCAAATCAGACCCGATAATCTTGGAGCCAAAGCATGAAACAGGAAGCAATAAGAGTGAACCAGTGATAGATTCTTCCACTACTTCTGATAAAAACGATCTATTAGAATTGATAAGTGCAAGTGACAGTGAAGATGATGACAAAAAAATCTTCCCACACGCCTCACCTTCTTCCACCATCTCAACAACCGATTCCACATTAAAAGATTCCTTTCAAGATTCTGATAGCAAAAATGGTGGAAAAGTCAATGAAGGTATGGATTACACTTCTGAAACTCCTCCTATCCAAGTCATGGAAAGACCAACAACCCCAAAATACCGAATACCATCTTCTGTTTTTGCTAGAAAGCAATCTACAAGTCAAGATTGGGCCATGGCTTCAAATGAGTCGTTATTCAGCATTCAGATGAGTTTCAACTACCAAGATAGCATCAACTGGAAATCGGGAGACCTAGAAAGATATATACAGGAGATTGAAACCATTCCTGAATCGAATGAAACGGGTAAAACCCACGGGTCAGAAACAGGAAAGGACCACAAATTGTGTGATGAGGGTAAAAGTCCTGAATTGGGTGGAGAGGATAAGAATCAGAGTTTGGGTGATGTAAGTAAGAATAAGAATCATGGATCAAGTATTCCAGATGAACCCGTGAATCCAAATTCACAAGAAAATCAAGGAAGGAAATCTGTTGTTGATGATCGTGTTTCTCATCTTTCTGCAGAAAGTGAAAGTGCAAAATCTTTTACATTTCCAGTGTAAGTTGCGACCTCTATTAAGTCGTTTTTTTCTGAAAAATTAAGTCATCTTCTCATCAAGTGTATTAAGTCGTTAGGGGTTGCTTCTTTTTTCTCATCAAGAATCGTATGAGTAAAGTGTCTTAATGGGTAATAATGTTTGTCTGCATAAATTGTCGTATACATAAAGTCTGTTTAGTTTCTTTTCTAGACCGATGACGAGTCAAAATTACCATTTTACCCTTACATTCCAAAAAAAAAACACAAATTTCACAAAGAAAGAAACAGCCATATAGAACTTAATGGATTAAGTGGTGTCTGCATCAACAACTTAATTTTACACATGAAAAACAGATGATTATTTATTTATTTATTTTTGGAAAAAATGAAGTTTGGCAGGAGACACAGATAAAGATGGAGCTAGGATGACTACTGGTTCATTGGAAGCGATCTCAGAAACAGAAAGGGAACACCCTGAACCAGAGAAACAGCCCAAGCCCAAGCCCAAGGCAGCAACAACTTGGACAAACTGCTTTGGGTGTTGTACATTTTGTTCTTGAGTTTGAGTTTTGACAACAATTGGTGAATTCATTGTACAGATATGCCCTTATACAGTTGTACTGTCTGTCCCCCTTTGGTTCTGATTTCTAGGCTTGCCATTCCTGTTACAACAGGGGCAAAGAAGGAAGAAAAAATGAGAAATATTGTGATTGAAACAGAAGGACGTGATGTTCTTGATCATAGCATCATCCTGATAAAGTAGGTTTTAGTTCTAGCTAAATAGTTCCTTTTTTTTTTGTTTGCAGTCAAGTGTAAGCAATTGGTGTATGGATTTTTGACATAGTTAGAATTTTTTTTTATGCATTTATCATTTTTAATGCATGGTGGTGGCATGGTTTTTCAAATTTTGTTTCTAGAGTCTAAAAAAACTCCAACTTAATTTTTAATTTGTTCTCCATTTGCTAAATATATTTGGGGACACATTCTAAAATTGGGTTGGCTATTGGGCAAACATTTTCAAAATTAGAGTACCAACGGCTCAATCACTCTATCAAACCATGTCCATTGTGCTCGAATTTTAAGGTATGGTTCTACTTCAAGATGGTATTGTTGGTAGGTATTTAACCTTTTCTTTTCTTAAATTTTTTAGGATCCAACTAAATATTATGATTACTTCCTTTAGCTTGACCCACCATATTGTCTAATCAATAATACTATGATCTTATGATCTTATGTTGACCACAACCTATTTGTTGTTGGCATTGGCATTGGCATATGTATACGTTACGTTTATAAGATTTGTGTATGGTCTTTTGGTTAATCTATTGCTTTTTGCTAGTCTTGGATGGTTTATGTTCGGTGTATTGCTTTTGTTAGTCTTGAGGATTACTTGTTTGTTAGCCTTTTGATGATGGACATGTACTTCATATTATTTGGCCATTGTTTGCGATGCGAAAATGGAATATGATTGCAATGTTTTAAGTAGTTGTAATTATTTGGGAATTGATTGCAATATGAAACCATATATGTACAAGAAGTTTTGACAAAAAAGTGTTTGTTGTGCGTGGTTTCCAAAAACACAAATATTCAAGTGTAATGGTTACGGGTAACATGACATCAAATCATTGGTAACCGGCAACACCTATTTAATTCAAACGTTTTATTATTATTATTATTATTTTGAATTTAGGCCTAAAACTTATGGCTTTTTATGCTATCAACCTTTTACAATTGATCAATTTGTATAAACTCTTCATTCATGTAATAAAACTTATGTCTTTTTATGATAACCCAAGGGGTGTCTTATTAGCAACACCTATACGAAATATGAACAAAAAAATAGTCCCCAAGCTAATAAATTGCATTGGAATTTGCCATTGTTGTCATCAATGTGAAAGCAAGTGGAAGAGCTGAAGGTGATTATTTAAACAACCACAAAGTGTAGTTATTTTTATTTTACTGCCCTATGTCATGCTATTCACTCAAAGACAAAAACACAATATATTTCGTGAGTTTAGTATATTCTTGTGAGTTTAGTATATTCTTGATCCACTTATAATAAGTTTTTTTTGAAAGAGCACTTATAATAAGTTAGAAAACATATAAACTAATATACCAATATCAAGATTATAAACATTTTATTTGTTATTATTATTATTTCTAACTTTTGGTAGAATAGTTCATGGAAAGTTATTATTACTATTTATTTTAAACGACAAATACAAATATATATTAAACTACTCCTAAATTATCCATTTATGTACATAGTGAGACTTGAACCCACGACCTCAAGGAGAGGGAGGACAACATCAAGTATCGCTGGGCTAGAAACTATTTGGTTTATGAAAAATTAAATGTAATGTAAAAACAATGGTATTGAGAAGTCAAGGGACCTAGGTTAGAGCTAAATATTATACACATTTTATTTATTGTTATTATTATTATTATTGTTATTATTATTATTAACTTTTGGTATAATAGTTTATGGAAAATTAAATGTAATGTAAAAACAATGGTATTGAGAAGTCAATGGACCTAAGTTAGAACTCGATTTAAGTTGAGGGGGTCATTGGTAAAGAGCAGTAGAGTACCCAAAAATTTCAAAACTTCAGCATAATTAGCTCGTACAAATCGGCGCGAAAATTTTCTTGAAAAGGAAGAGTAAAAACCCGGGAACATACACACATAGATTTACTAAAATTTCAATATATTGGCGCTAAAACCACTTATACAAAAGCCCCTTCCCCCCTCTTACCGTTTTATCATTTCTCTTGATTCATAGCCAGATCTACCGAGAGAAAAAAATAGAGGAGCGTGAGTTCTGGTTCTAGGGTTTATTGTTTCTTTAATTTCCATTTTTGGGATCTTTGATACTGCGTAGCAAGAAGCGATGGCAAAATCGGTTAGCCCAGATGCGATATCAGTGATACTGTCGAACCCTACTCCAGATTCATCGGCTGATCTACCCGAACTTGTTGTTCAAGTTCTCGATCTCAAGGCTGCTGGCAACAGATACACGTAAGTTTCTAAAATTTTCGATTGATCGTTTATGTTTCCGCTAGTCTATGTTGTAGGATTCAAAGTATATCGTTGTTTTTATTCGCGTCCGATGAACTAGGGTTTTATTCCCCCTTTCAGGAAATACCCGTATTAAACTACAGTTACCTGGAAGATTTAAATTCTTAAAACCTAAAAAGTTTATCTAATCTGTAGACCAGGGCAAAACATGTTATTGTTTAAAACGCAGGCTTTATCTACAGTTCTATGGCACAAATCTGCTATTGGTCGCGAAATTACTCTATGCTTCAGATCTATGAGCATTCATCACTTGAATTGCATATATCATCTTGTGTTTTGGTATGATGTTGTTGACTTCATCTAAACTTTAATTATTTATGGTTAACAGGTTTACAGTCACTGATGGCAAGACGAAGTTGAAGGCTATTTTGCAGTCTAGCTTGGCATCTGAAGTCATCAACGGGAATATCCAAAATCTGGGTCTTATCCGTGTTGTTGATTACACACTCAACGACATTCCAAACAAGAATGAAAAGTAAGAAATTAGTTACATTTTATGTTAAAATTAACCCATGATTTTGATAATGTTTGTGTATTTTAGATATTCTTTATCTCACTTGTTTTGGTTTTCGTTTAGGTACTTAATTGTGACAAAATGCGAAGCAGTCTCTCCTCCTTTAGAGGCAGAAGTTAAAACTGAGCCTAAGATTGAAGGAACTGGCATCGTGTTAAAGCCAAGGCAAGAAGTTGTCACCAAATCAGCAGCTCAAATTGTCAATGAGCAGAACAAAAAGTAAGATAAAGGTTTCCAAAGCATGTGTTTACAAAAAGTCTTTTATCGGTTTTGATCTGATTTTGATTATCATGCTGTTTTGTAATTGTAGCATGGCACCTTCTGCAAGAATGGCAATGACAAGAAGGGTTCATCCCCTTGCTTCTTTAAATCCTTATCAAGGAAACTGGACTATTAAGGTCAGGGTTACAGCTAAAGGAAACATGCGCACTTACAAGAATGCAAAGGGAGAGGGTTGTGTTTTCAATGTGGAGTTAACTGATGAAGATGTGAGTTCATATTCTTAAGTTCTAAATCGTTATGGTTGTCTTGATAAGAAAAATTAATGACATTTTTTGATTTATCAGGGTACTCAAATTCAAGCAACCATGTTTGGTGAGGCTGCAAGAAAGTTCTTTGAAGTGTTTCAAATAGGAAAAGTGTATTACATATCTAAAGGAACTTTGAAAGTTGCTAACAAGCAATACAAAACTGTACAGAATGATTATGAAATGACTTTAAATGAATATTCTCAAGTTGAAGAAGCAGTCAATGAAGTCGCTTTTATCCCTGAAACCAAGTTCTCTTTTGTCCCAATTGATCAATTGGGGCCTTATGTCAATCAGAAGGAGCTCGTAGGTATAAACCCTAGTTTCAAACCTTTCGTACAAATTCACATCTGAATATTTCCAATAAGAATCTAACAAGGCCATGAATTACAGATGTTATTGGTGTTGTGCAAAGTGTATCTCCAACAATGAGCATTCGCAGGAAAATTGATAATGAATCAGTCGCAAAGCGTGACATTGTTATTGCAGATGACACGTAATCATTTCTTCTCTTGTGTTTTGCTCTTTTATTTATTATCCATTTTTGTTGCATATCTTGAAGTGGATTTTTTTTTTTTTCAGAAAGAAGACTGTTGTCATCTCTTTGTGGAGCGATCTTGCCACCGATCTTGGCCAAAAACTATTAGACATGGCAGATGAATCACCCGTAGTTGCAATCAAATCTCTACGTGTATCTGATTTTCAAGGTAACTATTTCGTATTAGGAATCAATGCATAATGAATATATGATACTAAAATAATATTCCATTTCGTATCATACCACCCGTTATAATTATATAATTTTTTCTTTCTTTTAGGTGTATCTTTATCGACAGTGAGCAAAAGCATCATTGAAATAAACCCGGAAACCCCAGATTCTCAAAAGTTAAAATCATGGTATTCTACAGAAGGAAAAGAAACATCCATGGAAGCTGTGGGCTCCGGTTTAAGCCCCTCCATGAAAGCCGGTGGCCGGTCATTGTACTCTGACCGGGTCACACTTGACCAAATCACCAGTAACCCATCTTTGGGTGAGGAGAAGGTACGATAATCTCGCTATTAATAAAAGATTACAAACTTTACTATTATCTAATGCAAAACCTAAGAAAAAACTCTAATAAGCTTTTTTGATTTTTCCGGCAGCCGGTGTTTTACAGCACACGAGCAAGTATGAGTTTGATCAAACCTGATCAGACGATGTGGTATAGAGCATGCAAGACCTGCAAAAAGAAGGTTACTGAAGCAATTGGATCTGGTTTTTGGTGTGAAGGATGCCAGAAGAACGACGACAACTGCAGTTTGAAGTACATTTTGGCGGCAAAGTTTTCCGATGTGAGCGGCGGAGCTTGGTTTTCTGTTTTTAACGATGAAGCTGAGAAGATTATCGGGTGCTCCGCTGATGAGCTTGATAGCTTGAAGTCGCAGGTAAATTCGATACATAAATGATAAATCTCAAAACTGTAGAGCTCGTTTCTCATTTTTTCTTTGTCGATGTTTTCAGGGTGATGGAAGTGATTTCCAGCTACAATTGAAAAAGGCGACGTGGGTGCCATACCTTTTCCGAGTGAGCGTTCAACCTCGAGAGTATAATAATGAAAAACGACAAAGGATCACTGTTCGATCTGTTGCTCCGGTTGATTTTGC